GCTCCATCCGATCATAAGCAAAACTAACCCTTGACGGAATAAACTTCACTGAGCTCGATGAACTTTGGGATATGAATGGCTGTGAGCGCACAGCCAATATTGAAGAAGATGCAAACTTTAAAACGAATGGCTCGCATCGTTTATGATATATACGTTGGGCAATTATAATCACTACGGCTCGTTTCCTATATGCCTCCCAGCTCACCTCAACTAAGTTACTTGGCGTCAACATGACGCCGACGCTCGCGCCCCGGCACTCGAGGGAAGGGCGTCCTCGGCACGGTCCGCCGTCCCCGCGCGCGCGCGGGAGCGGACGCCTCCGGAGGTGGCCGGTCCGGGCCTCGACCGCGCGCCGCGCGGTGTGGTCGACCGAGCCCGGCCCGCGGGCTTCGACGAGCGCCGCGTACGTACGCGAGCGGGGTAGATGTCCCGCGAACCTCCCCACAAGTCGCCTGATGTGTGTGATGATGGCGTCAGTGCCGTCCCTGCCAGTGTCTTTTGTACGCCTTTTTAGGCCTCTTTTTGCGGCATTGAGGCCCGATTGTGATCTTTCTCTCTCAACACTCGCGTTGACTTTTGACGTCGAGCAAAGGGGCATCCGCCGGCTGATCTTTTGTCCGCCAGCGACCGTGGCGGCGGATGGCTGGCTGACGACACTAGCCGCGAGGCACGGTCGCCTGAGGACACTATCGATCTCTATATCAAACCCAAGCTCATGCGGCTCCACCTCCTCGTCGTCGCCGCGTGCGCCGGCGCGTTTCCGACCTACGTGTCGCGGGAGAAGGACGGGGCCGAGGCCGTGCCGCCGAAGCCGGCCTACTACGCCCACAAAGACCGGTCCTCCCGCGACCGCTTCGCGGCCGTCGCGGCCGGCGCCGCGCCGAAGAATTTCACGACGCTCGAGGCGCTGGCCTACGCCCAGTTCCGGTCGCCCATCTGCCACTCCGTCGCCCACGCGCTCGGGCGCCGGGTCTACGCGGAGGCGCGCGGCGCGTTCGCGACGCCCGCGGACCGCCTCGACGCCGCGCTCGCGGCGTGCGAGTACCGCTGCACGGGCGGCTGCCTCCACGGCGCCGTCGCCGCCTACGCCGTCGCCACGCCGGCGACCGTCGACATCCCTCAGACGTGCGCGCGCGCGAGCATGCGGAGGATCCTCCCCTTCGGGGAGTGCGCGCACGCGGCGGGCCACGCGCTCGCGCTGACGCTGTCCGAGGGCGCGGCCTTCGCCGCCTGCGAGGCCCAGCGGCGCGACCCGAGCGTCGCCCACTACTGCGCCGGCGGCGTCATCATGGAGCTCGGCGACGGCTTCTTCGGCGGCGCGCGCGCCGTCGGCGACCGGTGCGGGGGCCTCCCGGCGTCCGCGCGCGCGTCCTGCTTCTACTACGGCCTCCGCAAGGAGGCGCTGCGGGACCGGGACCTCGCCAAGGTGCTGCGCCGCCGGTGCCCGGCGCCGCCGGCGGGCGGCGACCGCGGCGCGTACCGGTCCTGCGTCTACGGCGCGGCGTCGCGCCCGGCGCGGGACGCGGGTTCGCTTCAACGTGAGCGTGCCGCGCGCGCTCGTTCTTGAAAACGCATCCGCGCGTCGAGGCCGCTCCGAGAGACGATCGCCCGTCCAAAAATCGGCCGAAACGAGCGGGAAACGGCCGAGAGAGGAGCCTTTAAAGTCGGGCGCGTCGCACCCGTGTCCCGCCCAGGTCGGGCCTCGTCAAGGACGGCATGACGGGCGACCTCGGCGCCCGCGGCGCAAAGTCCTGCGAGCGGCACGTCCCCGCGGCGGACCGGCCCCACTGCGTCGACGGCCTCATGTTCCGCACGGCCAAGTACGGCAAGGCGGGCATGGTCGCCGCGACGTGCGCCGCGTTCGCCGACGCCGACCTCGCGGCCCTCTGCCGCGACGTCGCCGACGCGGGCATGTACACGCGCCGCAAGGACGCCCTCATGCGCGACTACATGGACGAGGGCGAGGGCGGCTAAGGGGGCGGAGCGCCGCGACCGCGGGAGCCGGCGGGGCGCGCGCGGGAGGCGGCGGCCGCCCGGCCGAGACCGCCCGAGGCCTCGGGTCGGACCTCGCCAGGAAGGCCGAGTCGTGGGGGGGCAGGCGCCTTCGGCCCGGCCCAGCCGGTGATTTGGCGAGAAGAAAGGGCAGCTTCGAGTCGTAACTTTTACCGGCGGCTCGTTGGTCGTCCGCGCGATGGGTCGCCCGGACGGCTCCTACTCGTCTTTCGTCGGACGCGAGGTCCTGCGATCCTGCGTCGTGTTTCGTTTTTTGGCCCGGGCAAGCTATTGTTGCCTTTTTGACGCCTTTTTTGCCTCGAGATTCCTTTTTGCCACGCCGCACTTGTTGCTCTTTGTGTTGAAAGCAAGCGTCTTAACTCCTCGGGCCGACGTGAGCATTTGTGTCGCTGTCAACGAGTCCTTCCACGCCCCCATCGCGTCAAGCACCGCCGACCGTCTCCGGCCTCGCCACCACCGCCTCAACCTTCCTACCGGGACGTCCTCGCCCCGCCTGCGCCGCCTCGAACCACAAGGCCTAGATTCGCACGCCGCCCAACGACATCTGACACAAACATGGCCGACTTCGACGCCGTTCCCTCCCCGGACACTTCCCGGGCCCCGGGCGTCCGGGCCTTTGGCTCGCCCGACGCCCCGGCCTCGTCCTTCGACGTCTCGCGCGAGGCGCTCGCGGCCAAGGCCTTTTCCGCGGGCGCCGTCTTCGGCGCCGGCGCGAACCCCCGGGACGAGGCGCCCGCGTGCCGCGTCGGCGACGCGGCCGAGCGCCGCCTCGCGGCGGCGGCGCGCCTCGCCAAGGACTCGGGGCCCCCGGTCCGCCCGCCCGTGCCCGCGCCGCTCGGCGGCCGCCCTTCCGACTCGCTCGGCCGGCGCCCGGTCTCCCGCGCGGACGCCCTGGACACCGTCCACAACCTCGACGACATGCTCATGGCCGCCCTCGCCGCGTCGCGGCCCTGGGCCACCTTCGTCGACGCCCTCGAAGAGCGCGCGCCCGCGTCCGCGGAACCGCGCGAATTCGAACGGGCGGAACCGCGACCGCGACCCTTTTTTCTCCCGCAGGTGCGTGGACCTGGCCATCGGCGTCGCGGCGTCGCTCGAGCTCCGCATGGACCTGATGGACGTCGTCCTCGAGCTCAGCCGGACGTGGCTCGCCGGCGACCGCCTCGGCGAGCGGTTCTACACGTCGCTGGCGCGGTCCGTCCCCAAGCTCCGCGACCTCTCCCTGGCGGAGCGCACGGAGTGCGACGCGACGGTCATGTCCGTGGGCGAGGTCTCCGGCCCGAGCGCCTACGCGCGCGTCGCCGACGACGTCGTCCGCCGGGCGCTCAAGCGGCAGACGCACCGGCGCCTCGGCGCGCTCGCCGGCGGCGCCGGCGGCGCCCTCGTGGGCACCGCGCGCGTCGCCGCGGCGGCGCGGGCCGTCCAGGACACGCTCGTCCTCGAGCCCGCGTGGGCGCGGTTCGTCGACGCCGAGGACGCGTTCCGCGCGTTCGCGGGCCGGTGCGACGACGTCGTCCTCGAGGCCCTCGCCGGCGCCGCGCCGCGCGACGTGCGCGTCGCCGCGGCCAAGGCGGCGCGCAAGGTCGTCGTCGCGCCGCGCGGGGCCATCTTGGACGCGGCGCGCGGCGCGCACGCCGCGAGCGTGTCGTGGCTCAAGTCGCACGAGCGCGAGGCCGCGGCGGCCTACTCGGAGGACGAGGACGAGGACGTCGGCTTCGCGACGCCCCGCGCGTCCGCGCCCGGGAGCCCGGTCCTGACGCCGCTCCTCGCGTCCCCCGGCGCGTACCTCGCGGAGGCCCTGGGCGCGCTGCGGAC